TTGGTGCTAAATTATGATGTTGGTTGTCCTTCACTGGGAGAAATTAATCTATCTGAAAAGTAGTAAGGTCTGATATACAATATTTAGAGTTGCTTGTGTATGCTTTGAACTTATGATTATGTTGGTTAATTATGCAGTTCATGAGAGACTGCTCCGAACTAGTGAAGACTTTGTCTGGCCTGTTGATTCTACATTCCACAGTCGCTTTGTCATTGACGTTGAGTTTCTGGACCTGAAGATATGTCCTCTGAATGTGAGCTCCTCTGCGCTACCATTTTATTGTGTTAGATTGATGGTGTGAACTTCTGTCTCCTTTTGTGTGTGTGTGTGTGTGTGAAGCTGAATGGTTTTGAAATAATCTCTTTCTTGCTCTCTCTGATTTCTTCACTAATCTTGTTTACCCTTGTCCCTAGGAACCTTTTAGAAAAACAAGGGACAATAGCATATGTTGAAATCTTGGAACTTTAACCTTATTTCCCCTCCTTTCCCTTTTCCTTCTTCGCATAACCAAGCAATATATGGCAAGTTTGTGCTATACACTGATTGTTAGAAGCCCAGGGTTTTGTTATACTTCTGTTTCCTTTAGCCTTACTCTTTTCATGTTAATACTTAGGGAGGAGAAGCTAGTTCCATATTTCCCATTGATGGAACAATGGAATGTCTCTCAACTCAAAGCACCCTCCGCTGCCTTGCTCGAATGCTTGATGAGGGTATTCATACAGATGTTACCATCCATACAGCTGATGGGACTCTAAAAGCTCACAAGGCAATTCTATCTGCAAGTTCACGTGTTTTCCAGAGCATGTTCCACCACAACCTCAAGGAAAAGGAGTCGTCCACAATTTGCATAGAGGATATGTCAATGCAGTCTTGCATGGCCCTTCTCAGTTACCTGTATGGAACCATAAAGCAAGAGGATTTCTGGAAGCATAGGCTGGCGTTGCTGGGAGCAGCAAACAAATATGATATTGTAGCTCTAAAAGATGCCTGCGAAGAAAGCCTCTTGGAAGATGTCAACTCAGGGAATGTCCTAGAGAGGCTGCAGGAGGCTTGGCTTTACCAGTTGAACAAGCTCAAGAAAGGATGCTTAACGTACTTGTTTGATTTTGGCAAGATTTATGATGTTAGAGATGAAATCAATAACTTCTTCAGGCAGGCTGACCGGGAACTGATGGTGGAAATGTTCCAAGAAGTACTAAGAGTTTGGAGACCTCTATGACATGCTAGCTGTATGAGATTTTACCTTCAATCGTTTGTAAACAAATTATGGTGTGGGAGAGTATAAACGGTCTATGTAGCTTCTTGTATATACTCAATGAAATACGCCTTTTCTTTTTCGACCATGCACGTGTAGAGGCATGCTAAGGTCTTACATGCCAATGGTCTCAATAGCTTAGGATCATACGATGTGTGCACTTTTGTATGTATTAACCTATGTAAAACTTATTTTGGATTCAGGTAATGTTAATTTAAGTTGGTGAGTAAAATGGTTCTGGGCCTCCTGGCTCAGGGTGGAAATTTTATTCAACTTTTTAAAGCTGAAACTGAGTGTAGTTGGCAGGCTGGAAAGGCTCACGGGTCGGCTCGATGACTTTTTTTTTTTTCTTAAGAAAAAATTTTTAAAAAAGAAAAAAAAATATTACAATTGTTTTGTTTTAATTGAGACTTAAAGTAAACCTTAGTCATATCAAAACGTTAGATTAATACCCAAAAAAAAAAAAAAAAAAACGTTAGATGCATATTGTCAACTTAGTGGGGCTGGTAGTGCGGTACTAACTACTACATTCGTTAATCATATAAAACTTCGGAAAAAGGGTTATAAGCACATTATTAAAGAGAATTTGAGTTATAGAATAACTTTATCTTATTTATTTATTTGATAATTTTTATTTTATGGAATGATTATTTAAAAATTATTGTAT